TTCCCTCTTTTTTGGTTTCAGAAATCAATCTCTCAAATATACCAAATCCAACTCAAATCAATTTACTTTTCCAGACCTATAACATCTATACTATTATGATTTCATCTTTCAGTAGCCACATCATCAAGCCACTGTCATATCAATCAACTAAAAACTAAGATCTTGAATAGAAAATAAAATTTGACTTGTCAATTAAAAACACTTTCATCATGTCAAAAAATAATACTAAACAAGAAACTCCCAGCACTCTGGAGGCTGAGGCAGGAGGATTGTGGCGAGTTTGAGGACAATCTGGGCTACAAAATGAGTTCAAGACCAGCCTGCACTGCATGGTGAGACCTTGTCTCAAAAAGACAAAAAAAAAAAAAAAAAAAAAAAAAAACAAGAAACTCATTCTTCAAGAGCAAACACTTACTGAGAACTCAGAATCGAGTTTTCTCTTTGCTTTTGTCTCTGACTTTTTTTTTTTTTCCAGTAGTATTGGTGCCCTTAGACAACCTGCTGGCTTACAGAGCAACTTGCCTGCAAAATCCCCAGTGTAACAATAGTAGAGTTTAAATCACTTTACCCAGCTACTCCTGATGACAGGGCAGCCAACAGGGTGGGACAAGTGTACAGTCAGATTAATAAGGGGTTTAATCCTCTACTTCCCCAATATTAATATAATGCAGCAGTTTCTCTTTCCACAGGGTGCAATTAATAACCATTTCTCATTCAAACAGGGGAGACACAACACTGCCATTAGGCAATATTTCTGCACCAGCTGAGTCATCCCTTTCAATTTGGTGTCAATTAGGCTAATTAGTGGTTAGTGGCTCAGCCTGCCCTTCAATCATGTGGAAATGGCTCTCCACACAAATGTCAGGCGCTGCTCTGAGATTTCCTTACATACTAACAATAAATACCTTGACTGTTGAGACACAAACTGCAGGCTGGGAACGAATAAAGCATTTGATAGGCTACAATGCTTATCTGCGCATTGTCACAAAATAATAGTGTCTGTCAGCTCCCCGCTGGTTCTGTGGCCTCTTGTCAGCCACCACAGTGGGGGAACAACTTGGGGCCACTGATACAACTGAACCCCGTTATCTTTTCATCTCTCCAGCTAGGTGGTCGGCCTGCACTCCCCTCAGGCATCGTACCTGTTAAAACACTCTGTTTTTTGGCTGTGGTTCTAAACCCAGGCAGAGGGGATTAGAGACCTGGCTTTTAATTGTGCTTGCCTTTTTCTTTTGCGAATGGCAATCATTCTGTAGCACCTTTTGTGATAGGAAAATGAAGGCTGGATTAAAGCATACTTCTGATTCCTCAGCAGCGCTTTGCGCCTGGCGGGCACCTTGCTTAAACCCCTGGATGTGCACGCTGGGGCCACTGAGCTTTGGCAAGAGGCGAATGCTGAGTAATTTCAGATCAAGCCTGGTTTCCTCTCCTATAGATCACTGGGAACAAGTTTAGGGACGTAACTCAAAGAATAAATTAACATTGTTCACTTAGTGACCAAGCACAAGCCTTGAAAGTTTTGACAGATGAATGATTTTCCTAAAGAGATTCAAATAATCACAATATATGAACAAGAAGCCTAGATAAATTATAGAAAAACATAATACAGATTATTCTACAAATTGTCTTCATTTGAAACATTTCTTCAAAATTAAAATGACTTTTTAAAATTGTGATGCATGCTGCTATGCCTTATAATGAGAAAATTTTAATTGAAGTAGCTCCAGGATACGGCCTATCTTAATAGTTTAGATGCTTGAGAAAAATGCCTGGATTGTTTACAGTACCAGGTTTCATGTCTAAGACATTGAATCTTTCCTATAGTAACTGTATCAGTGGAATTTGCTTAAGGTAATTCAAAAGAAATTTCAAGGATTCAATATAAAATCAGAGACTTTGTTAATAAAATATTGATAATGATATAATACAATAGTAAAATGAATCTCATAGCAGATTCTAGGTAGAAAAATAGTCAAAATACATAATAATATGAAAAATATACTTATAGTTCATCTGTGATGCAAATATGAATGAAACATTCTTATGTTATATACATGCCTACTACAACTTATATAATTTATGTAAAATGGACATATATCACACAGGTTTCAGCTATATATAAAAAATTTAAATGTGTACTTGAATTTTCATTATATAAACTAATTAGAAGGAAAGAACTTAAAATATTTTGATTTTTAAAAATATGACATCAGCTGTAACCACAGAGCAATGCTGCCAGGAAATCTAATAAAGAAAAAGATCTATTTGACTAAATGTGGGCTCAGTAAATTAAATAATGTTTGGAACCATCCTATAATTTTGTTAACATTTTTTAAAATTTATTTTCTGACAGTTTTCATTTTAAAATCTGTCAACAGAATACATAAACACTGAATGACTTTTTTTATATTAGCAATATAAATTTTTGAAAATATCTAAATAGTTGTGGTCTGTTGCTGAACTCATATACAATGGGGTGGAATTGAATAGCTATAGCCAGATGGGAATTTGTTTATATATACACCGAGTTGTGGATCAGTAACTTTTAGGTCTTTTTTCTATTTGCCTGCTTATTTATTAACAGTAAGACTCATTCTTAGATATTTTCTCCTATATATAACATGACACTGAATATTTGCTGTAATAAGAATTATATAAAAACTATAAAGTCATCAGTATATGGAACAAATTGTTAAAATGTGCTCTATGTCAAAAGTAAGAACTTGTAAAACATGAGGCTTGGAGAGGAAAAATAATTTACAGTACTCTACTCCCATTTACTTAGCTAACACTTCCAAATTCTAAATCTTCATCATTTGTCTTTCCACAATGTTTCCATAGCAGGCAATACATATCTTTAAGTTGAAGATTTCACCAATGAAAACAAAGCAAAAAACAGCATGGTATAATCTGGAAGACATAATTAGTCTTTTTCATACTTGAAAGATAATTTCTCCCATAGATCTCCATTTCAGTGCTTGTTCAGTGAATAGGTTTCATAGGAATAACATCATAAACTGCCATAACGGGCATCAATGTGCAAAATTACATCCTTATGTGCACATCTTATCCAAGTCATTTTCAAAATATACAAGAGTGAGAGCAAATATTGCAGTGATATCAGAGTCTGATGGAGGATAAAACAAAATGAGAAAATTACAATTTACAAGTCAGATCAAAGATTTCAGTCACAGAAAGAGAATGCCTATAGAATTGTATATAAAATAGAGAATATGGATTGAGCTATTTAAGTGTTTCACTGTAGTTTTTTTAACCACCCAGTTATTTCCCCTGTTGGGAAAGGTGTGATCTCATGTCTAACATGGCAACCACTGGCCACATGTGATTATCAAGCCTTTCAAATAGGGCCACTGCAAACCGAATGTGTTTTAAGTGCAAAACACACAGTGGATTGCAGAGATTTAGGACAAAAAAATTACAAAATGATTCTTAATAACTCATTACACAGATTACATGTGGAAGTGATAATATTTTAGGCATACTGCATTCAAATATATTAGTAAAATTTACTTCACCTGTCTTTTTATATTTCCATTAGAAAATGTAAAATTATATTTCTTTGATTTTATTTTAATAGGCATGCTAGTATAGACTACATACACACATAGCACTAGATAGTAGCTTCAATCAAAATTTTGATGTATCTTATTTTTCTAAAGTGCCTCAGAAATACCTTAAGCATGCAAAATGTTTTCCTATTTTGACCAAAATAATGATAATATTAGCCAAAAGAAAAAAATTTAAAAGTTAAGTGAACCCCAAAACAGTAAAAACATATAAACTATATAAAAATAAGTAAATTGAGCAGTATTCCACTGGTCAAGTCATTCAAATACACAAAAAATTTGTGCTTACAGATGTACCTCAATTTGTTTAATTCCAATCAACTGAATTCCTTCAACTAGGGAACATTTTGCATTTCAGTTATCCTCTTACAGATGGTAGGAAATTATTGTGAGTAGTCGCTAGAATAGTAAATACAAAAACATTAGAGTAAAAATATGTGTTAAGCAAATCTGTATTAATAGCTAATTATTTTTTAAATAATACATTCATTCAATCAACATTCAGTAGGAGCATGGTTATTTTATTGACAAGTATATTTGCATACAGTGACATCAACATAAATATTGAAAACTAACATTGCCAACCAGTAAGTGAGCTGTCTGACGTAGCGTTGCCCACCCAATCTTGTATCCAAAGAACCGACTGAAACCAACCTTGATGTTAAATAGCATGGGAAAAGAAATAACAAAGAAGCAATCTAGCTATCGGAAATAAAGCAAAGTTCCACAGCCTATGCTAAGCTTCCGTTTAACAGCAAGCTTCCCTCTCTCTTCCTCTCTTTCCAGAAGATTTGTCACATAAAGTTCTGTTCACATGGAATTCGATGCAATCCCCAGCCAACCACAAGATTGGTAAACCTGTTCTAACTGCTTTTACAATAGCATGGAGCAGAACTTGAATTACCAATCCACCAGAGAATGCTAATGCAATTATGAGTGTTTACTTGCACCATGTGTTTCTCACTGAGCCCCCGCTGTGTCAGGATAAACCAAAGGGAGCTAATGTTTTATAGATGGTAAGACTCTGTTTGTTTTCAGTAGGGCTAAGTCTCCCAAAGCACTCAGACACACTAATTAAAGTAAACTGCAGAGGCCCATAATAAAATATATGTGTTTGGAGACTGTGAGATGAACCCTACTGGCTTATTAAAAGTCAAAAGAAAAATATACATTATTTATGACTTCAAAGGGACACATTGTGAGCTCCAGTTTATTTAAAGGATTAACTAAGCAGTAGTTATTGGTGACCATCTGAATGGTTCTTCTTTCACAGTTCATTAGTTCCGTTATATATGTGAGAAGTCATCATTGGGGTTCAAATCAAATATTATTAATCAAATAAATTATAGAGGGTACACCAACATTATTAAATGGAATCTTTGTGAAATAGCTGCTAATAAATCTGGTACTTACTTTTAACAGTTGCTGAGCTGCAACAGTGTGATTTAGGTGTCCAAAATGTGTTGTAAGCATTTAACACGCTGGTCATAAATCTGGTCACCCCTGAAACAGGAAGTTGAGAAATACAATTACAAAACAAATTGCTTCATTTTCACAAAATTATTCACTTTATCTAGAAGCTTGGAAATCTTGCAAAGTCCGGTTTCCTTATAGAAGAAAAGTTAATTGCACATCAAAAAGCCCTTTTGTGACCTAAATTTTTCTTTGTTTTATTGTTTTCAAATCAATCCACATATCCAAAATCAAAGGTCCAAATCGAAGGTCATTAGTCACACTTCAGTGAATCTGAACTAAGGATGATCAAGACATGTCAATATTCTACATTTGTTCTCTGGCACTTGAATAATTACAAATAATATTAAATAACATCCATTGTTATCATCTATTTTGATGAAAATTTTATATTATGTACCTAACTATTAACATCTTAACATTCTGTATAAATAAAACTCTGCACGTATTTCAGGTTATCATACAAAGAGAATTTGTATCTCATATTTTTCTAGGTCACCTTGAGAATTTCCTGAATGTTTGCTTGTGTTTTTGTTGTGGTGGTTGTGGTGGTGATGGTGATGTTGAGTATTGAACTGAAGGTCTTGTCACTGAACCCCATCCCCAGCCCTTTTTATTTTTACATTTTATTTTTGTTTCTTTGTTGCAGTTTCTGAGACATGGTCTCACTAAGTTGCCAAGTTGCCCTGGCTGGGCTTGAATTTATAACCCTCCCACCTCAGTCTCCCAAAGTGCTGTGATTACAGGCATGAGTTTATACTTTAAAAGAAAATATACCCCCAAAATAAGGAACTGGGCCTAAGATACCCCTTCCAAATTGTCCAAGAAACAGAGGTCCAGAGTTTTTCTCAAGATAGTCAGTTCAGATGCTCTGCTATTATAGATGTGATATTGCCTTTCCATAGGTATATTGGCTTTATATTTCATTTTCTTCTTTCAAAACTTTCTCTTTCTCTCTCTCTCTCTCTCTCTCTCTCTCTCTCTCTCTCTCTCT